CTTTCCCTTTCTCTTGCTAAGGGATAGGGTGCTAACGTTATCCCAAAATGAAGGCTGGGTTTCACACTTTCCCCTATCTTCAATGCCAGATCCCTTTGCTTGCTCCTTGACCCTTGGTACATCTCTTAGCCTCTGTGCTGCTTCTTTGTTTTGTCGCTGGAGAGTACTCGCTTGTCCACCTCGTGAAGCGCTCTGAGGACAGAGTGCGTTCAGTCTTTATTCCACCAGCAGAATGCAAGAGTTTTTATCAGTCTGCTCAACCTGCTCCTTGCTTTAAGGTAAGGGGGACATACAGGGAGCAAGATACAGACTTCATGGCTAATCTTATTTATATCTGCATTGGAGACTTTTTAGCTGGGAGAGGTTGAATGTTTTTTTTCAAGTGAATGTATTGTCTTTTGAGCCAAGAGATGGCAAAAAGATTAGTGGCCATATTGGACCTGAAGGGGGAGGAGACATGGGAAGGTCTTAAGATTTGACTTTGTCCAGCTTTGGAAGGGACAAAATATGGCCTTGAACAACTTTTTGAAGCAATAGCAGTGAGGGGGCTGCCACCTATACAGGACCATGGATCTTTAACTCAGAAGATGCTGAAACAGCTGGCACAGGTGCTTCAGTCCCTTCCCCAGGGCTGGTACTGGCTGCAAGATGGAGCAGCAAAGATGGCTTTTTTTAGACCTGCTGGTGCGCTTTCTATGTGTTCATTTTCTACTTGGGGGCTGTGAGGGAAGAAGCTATGGGACTGCTTCCCTCTGTGAACTTTCACTCTATTCCTGTATAGTCCTTTTTCTTTCCTGACGTTGTAATTTGCATTTTACATGAATCCCCATCCCACCTCCTTCACAGTATATTTAAAAAATAAAAAAATTAAAAAAAAATGAACATGCCATTGGAGCAGGGAGCCTGGTGGTGTTCTAACTTCTGCAGACTTATTTTTGAGATGTGAAAAATTTAAATAATTGCTAAGTCTTAGGTGAGTGAGGAGCATAACGGATGTAAACATTTACATGGGATGCATTAGACTTCTGCTGTGTGTATTGTCTTTTGGTTGAAACAAATTACGAAGTGACTAACAATAAAATGAGTCAATATTCAATGATTTAAAAGCTGTGCCTTGTTGCTTTTTGCAAGTACAGGGGGATAGGCCTTTTTTGTTCTTACAGTTGGCCATAACAAGGTCGGACAATGTGAAATAATAAGCAAGAAGGTAGTGCAGATTTTTCAAAGTTTTCTGGGAAGCTTAAAGAGCAAAATGAGTGCTGACAATTATGAAAAATTATTAAACAAGTGATGTGAAATATCCTTCTAAAAGAGAGCTTGTCAGCTAGAGGCAGCAATACACGTCCAGGTGCTAGAAAGATGTGATGAGAATTGAACATAAGAAAAACTTTCCTGTATCTGCAGCCTGTCCTTGGAGTTGATTCCCTCACTAATTAAAAAGCCTCTTTTCATATTCTGTATGCCTCTAGGATGAAGACTGCTGTAATCCCATTATCCATTAAAGCAATATAAGTGCCTGCTCTGAGTTCTTCCGTGTTTTCTAGTTGCAGTAACATTGCATTAGACAATCTTCTCGTGTGCGCTCCGGCACACAATTGCACTTCCTTCTGCAAAATGTGATAGCCTCTGTATTGCCATGTGTCCATCCTTTATGGAAATTCTCTTGAGGCAAAATAGTTACAGAACTATTGCTATACTATTGCTATAATGCTGTAGCTAAAATCCATTATAATTCTACCTTTCTGTAGGGAACGCTCCGTGAAAAATGGATTTGATTTTTTTCCCCCCAAGCTTTTCAGCTTATTTATGTAGTATGGAGGTGTTAAGAACTAGATGGCCTTTTCTGTGACTGCCTTGGCTAATGACATGAATTAATAAAAAGTGGCTAGGACTGCACTTAACTACAGTGATGGGATGAGTTGTCTGTCAGTTCCATATTCCTCCAGATACTCACCTGAGCATTTAGATATGGTATCTAAAACTGCCAGTTTGCATGGCATCAAGAAGTCACTCGTCACAGGTCCTAGTTCTGGAGCGGGACAGATTGTTCAGAAGCATTTCCTTGTCATTCCTTCCATCAGGACAATGCTGACCCAGTTATCCCTGTGAGTCTAGCCTTAGCCCTGAAAATACTGCACGGGCAGTGCTGTGCACTTTCAGAGTGTACGCAACACATACGCCTGCAATCCTGATTCTTTGACAGCCCAGGAAGATGGCAGGAACTTTTTAAAGGAAATGTATTAGAACTAAGAGAGCGTTTGGCACAGTAATAATGCCAGTAGGGACACATAATTTGGAAAGCACATCTGGAGTTAACTCTGAAATTAGACCGGAAGTCAATGTATCGGGAAAGAATTGTGATGATGACTTAAGATTGAGCCCAGATGCTCTCTTGAGAGCGGACTTGTCGTGAGGGTGTTTGACTTGTGTCTTTGTTAAAAGTTTGGAAACACTGGTGATTATGGAGAAGGCAGGAGGCTTTTGTTACCTTGTTTTTTAAATGCTTGACCTTGTGCGGGAATGAACAATACCCGCCTCAAAGCATTCTTTTCAGTCTGCTAAAACAGCATAGCAGTGAAAATTAGCATGTAATAGTTAAGACTGCCTGGTGCTGATGTGATGGACAGCAATTGCAGGAAGAAGATTTTCAGATGCTCTGCTATGTAACTTCAGCCATGGGAGGCAGGAACACGGGTTTTGCTATTGCTTGTCTGAGTAAGGCTTCATCCACTTAGATGTGAAACTTTGAGTGACTGGTAACAGACACTTGGGAGGTGAGCACCCAAAATCTTGTGATAGACGGTTCTACAAAATACAGGTAAGCTTTTATCTTCTTTCCTTACCTGGTTCGTAAGTAATTCCTACCTCTTTCTCTTCTTAAGAAATAGCTGTATAACTTGCATTAGCGAAATTGCAAAAATATCCCGAGCAAGTTATTTTTGGTCGGCTAATGTCACAGTCCTCATGTGCTGACTTTACAAATTTTTCTGGAATGTCTCCAGTTTAATGCTAATTTTGAAATACAGAAGATACCTGCTTTAATTCCAGGCAATTAAAATAATGGAAAATCCGAATCTATAATCTTAGTGAAAAATTCTAGGGTCACAGTTTGGTTGTTGAATGATTCTTAATACATTAATTTGTGTGTTTTAGCTGTGTTAAATGGAGTAAAAATGGACACTTGCTAAGCTTCGAAGCCTATTCTGAATTATTCTGGGGGTCTTGATCGGTTTTTGGCCTTTTGAACGTCAGTGCCCCGGGAAGGGGGGGACGGAAGGAAGTGCTGAGGCCGGGAGAGGAGGGGGGAGAACGAGAAGGGGCCGGCGACGCTGTCGGAACCCTTCGCTCTTGGTGCAGCGCGGGGTGCTGCGAGCGCCCCCCCCCCGGTCCGGTCCCGCTCCC